CTAAATTATCTCATCAACTCATTCACTTCTCTTCCCTTCCACCTCCACCACCTCACACAGATCTTAGCGTCTTTTACTTGGATTCTTGCAGCAGCTTCCTGATTGCTTTCCCTGCTTCCTGTCTGGCCCATCCTCTAGTCCAGCTTCAGCTCCTCTATCAAAGTGGGTCTTACTTGATACAAATTTGGCCATGCCTCTGACCTCTGTGAGTGGAATCCTGCTGCTCTTATAAAAAATGTAAAAATCCTCAGTGTGGTCCTCATGACATGGGGGTCATCTGCCTTCCTCATCCTGTCCCACTCTCCCTCTCACTTTATCCTCCAGCTGTTCAAACACAGCTCTCTCCCTTCTGCCACAAAGAGCTGTGTAAATAAAGTTCCTTCCTTCTGCAAGGCTGCTGTATTCCCTCTTCCTGCCTCATCTCTCCTACATTTCGTTAACCCCTTCCCACCCTGAAGACCTCAGCTCAGTAGCACTTCCTCAGGGAAGCCTGAACTGGCTCCTCTAATTCTAGATGTCTATTTGCTGGAGATCTCCATGGTATTCTGTACTTTCTTTCAGAGAGCTTACCAGTTTGTATGTTTACTAGAGGCTCAGTGCATGAATTCATGCACCAGTGGGATCCCTCAGCCTGGCCTGCTCCCTCTCACAATCCAGGACCCCTTGGGGGATGTTGGACTGCTGGTTTCAGCCCCATCTCTGCAGGGAATTTGGCAGTCCAACATCCTCTGAGGGATGTAATAGTGGGAGAAGCAGCAGGTGGCTGGGGAGGAGCCCACATCTGGGCCGGGTGCCCGTGCTGCTCCCACTCATTCTGGCCCAGCTGTGCTTGCCACTGCTGCTCAATAGTGTGGTGTCTGGCATCCGTTGGTCAGCTGAACTGTGCTTCTGCTGCGGGAGTGCACTGACCACCATGGGGCATCTCCTGCAGTGAGCATCTGCCGCCTGATGTTTAGGGCGCATTATAGTGACCCTTTGACCAGTTGTTCATTAGGTTGCTTGGGCTTTTATATATATATATATAGAAATGTGATTATTTTATTTAACTTGTCTTTTCCCCTGGATTTGACCTCCCTATAACCAAGGCCTATGGTTATTTTACTTGTCTCATCATCCCTAGTGCCTGGCAGACCCAGGCACATGGTGAGTAGCATTCAATTGATGTTATTGGCTGAATGTATGAATATAGACACTTAATCCTTTTCATTTGTTTGTTTTTTATTGGTGTTAGTGGAAAAGTTTTTGGAGCATTTAAGAACACTAGGCTCTGAATGTTGGCAGTTGTAACAGCATACTGTGAAGGAAGAGTTCAGTGTGCACTGGGCTGGAGTGTCCATGAGGGAAGGGCCTCCTTTCCTGAAACCAGAGCCACAGCAAGCCAGAGGCACTCAGAGCAAGGCCTGATGGGAGCTTCAGTTCCACCAGGGGCATCTCTGGGCATGGGCTTATTCTTCATACCACAGACTTCTTCCCAACAGAAGCTCTCCACCCAATGCCTTAACACCCTCGGTGTACTCCATCCCCCCTAACTCATAGTGACATAGAAAGTGAAGAGTAAATGAACGTCAGTTCTCATATATTATAAAGACTGTCCAGAAGTAAATCTCTTGGGCATTAAAAATACCAGCATGAGCTAGCGCCTTTCTCTCTCTCTTCCTCTCTCTCTCTCTGAATCTCCCCATGAGCTCCCTGCTCCACCAGGCATGTTTGCCTCTCCTGGCTCCCTCTGCTCACGTCTGTTTTTCTGATATAGACACCAAGAGATTACGGGCTCAATTAAAACTCCGCCTGAGTCTCAGCATCAGACCTGCCCAGCCAAAGGAAAAGAAAAATACCATCATAGGTACTGTCTACACTTATATTTAATTTGTTGCTTTTTTCATTCTACCTCTCTTTGTCACTTTTTAATATTTTACTTTTAATATCTTTCACAGTATAACAAAATAACAAACTTAACAATTCATTAGGTTTGTGATTTAGCTACATAAACCAATTAGCTAGTTTTATTGACTATTTGATTTGATTATTTAGTAAACATTTATTGCAGATAACTACAGGGGTTTAAAAGCTTCAGATTTCTCACTAATATACAACTATTGACTAGTTTTTAAACCAAAGAGGCAGGGATTTACCCCCACTCCCCATCCTAATAAAACAACAGATATTTGTCACACTTCACAGCTTCCATAATTCTGTGTGTCCTACAAATGAAGCCTAAACTCTTTATTTGCGGTATTCAGGGTACTTCACAGCCCAGTCCCAGCCTGCTCTCCCGGCCCTGCACTCTCTTCTTTTCCCCGTTTTCCTCTCCCACTCCCCCACCTCCTCCACGGTCTTAGATTCTGTGATTTAATCACTTGTTCCCAAAGCACTTTGAGGCGCTTTTAAAAGTACAGGTGTAGCTTCTATCTATACCGAGAGCGAAGTAAAGGTGACCCCCGACACTGAAGGAGTTGGTGTCTCTCAGGCCACGGTCTGTAGGTAAGCAGCATGGGGCTGATGTGGCAGCTCCCCAGGCCCAGGGACTCGGATCCCTCTGTTTTGTCGCTCTGTTCTCTTGAACATACAGCTGTCTTCAACTTAAATGGCAGCTGCAGCTCTCGACAGTGTATCAGCATTCAAGTCAGCAGAGAAGGAAAGAGAGAAAGGGGAAGGCACTTGACTGAGATGTTGGCACATTCCATTTCCACTCCTATCCTGTTGGACAGAATCTGGTCCCAAGGCCATCCCAGGTTGCAAAGGAGGCTGGGATGGTCGCCCAGCAGTCACATGTCCACTTCTATTCTTAGAGATGAAGTCAAGAAAGGCGAACGAGGGACGGCTGTGAGTCTTGATCATACTATGTGTCTGTTTCTGTGCTAAATGTGAGGGACCTACAGATGAAGAAGGACTGAATTTGGGGGAGAGCCCACTTTAGTTTGAGGGCCTTTGGCTGTAGCCCTGTCATCATATTATATCGTGAATATTTAATTTGTATATGTACATGCTTCTAGCTCAGTCTCTGCAAACAGAATTTATTCTGTGTATATCCTGGATATAATCTGTGCTTTAGTATCTGTCGCCCATTGCCTGGAGTCCTTCTGCTCCCAGTTCCCACTGGGTGCAATTCTCCCCACTCTGTAAAGCCCAGCCCAAGAGGCTTGGTGAAGCCTGTAGTGCGGGCTTAGGTACGATTGTGTGGCTGGTGTTCCCGTAGAGCTCAAATGCTGTTCTCTTCGCTCTGTTTTGTTACACGTGCCTAGAGATGTTTGTGGGTTGTATTTTATTTATTTCCTATCCCCACCATCTAGCACAATGCTGATGAAAAATGAAGGTGCTCAATAATTGCTTACACGAATCAAATTAGTCATCCCTTTGTGAATTCTTGAATGACAACGTGGGTGGTATCTCAGCTGAACTGAGGATCTCTCTCCTATTGTGTATAATAAATACCACAGTTGATGGAAAGTTCAGTGAATTGCAAATCAAATTCAGAATCATCGGAGAGGTGATGTCCCCAGTGTTTTCATTATATTCTAACAGTGGGTTAATTTTTATTCTTTTTTATTCAGTTATTCTAATAAATGTGTCCTGGTTGATGTTGATGAAGGTCCTAAAGAAAAAAAGTTGATTTTGAATTATATGTTCTCCTTTTTAAAGAACACGTCTTTATTGATTTTAGAGAGAGAGGAATGGGAGAAGGATAGAGAGATAAAAACATCAGATGAGAGAGAAACATCAATCAGCTGCCTCCTGCATGCCCCTACTGGGGACTGAGCCCACACCCAGGCAAATGTCCTGACCAGGAGTCAAACCGGTGACCTCTTGGTTCTTGAGTGACACTGGCCAGCCTGCGTTACATGTGCTCTTATATCCGTATATTTTTCATTAAAGATTTACAAAAGCACACACGTGTTGAAATCCTACCTGCATAGTTCAGAAAATATAGAGTTCTTTCCAGAACTTCCTTCAAAGGCCAATTTGCCTTATGATTCAGAATTTTATTTTGGGTTTACAATGTAATCACAAAAGTAACCTTATTGCCCATCCATCGTCTATCCATATTTGCCTTTTGGACCTTCAAATACATAGAAAATTAATTAGTATATGACAAAGCCATAGACTACTTATAGCCTATATAAATTATGTAAATTAGTAGGTATTGGTAACATGATTGCTTAAGCTACTTGTAGACAGAACATTTCACCATTTGGGGCCTCAGTAAATTTTACTTTACTAGTCAAATAAGAACATAGAACGAAGGCAGGAAGCTTTCTTTTCCTTCCTGGCTCTAATAGCCTCTTAGACTATTAATAACAATAACATAGAGCTGTTACTTTGAATCAGCGGTTGCCAACCGGTGGTCCGTGGACCACAGGTGAGGTCCGAAAGATTGGCTACCGCTGCTCTGAATCATAGGTTTTAAGGAAATGCTGGTAGTATTGAGAATTAATAGGTTTGTACTTTCCGTGGGCCCAAAGAGCATCATGGCGGGTGCTGTTAATCTGTGACATGAAATAGTTAACACATCTTCTCAGCAGGCAGCAGCATGTGGAGGGACGTGGGCATGGGGACAGGTGTGGATCATTGTCATCATTGGCACACTAAAAGCCTACATGCACCACTGCTTATTAGCCTGCTGGGTATCACACAGTTAATAGTTTTATCCCCAGATGCCTGAATGATTCATCTTTTCAGGTGTGGCATATATAAGGACTTTTAGGAAGAATGTTATGATCAGCTCAGAATCTGCAAACTTGGTCTTTAAAGAAAAATATAAATTATAGGTTACAAGGAATCATCATTCGTAAGATCTCATGCTTGGAGAGCAGCCTTATTTAGTTTTCTTTGTATCTAAATCATAGGTGATACATTACCTAATTAGTTAATTAGCTCTGACTCTGATCAGATTTGCTTGCTGGAGTTATGTTTATTTAATGTGCTTTAAAGTAGAAAATGAATAATTGGCAGTGAGGGGGAAAAAGAGAGAGAGAGAGAGAGAAACACACACACCACAAAACACAACAACAAAACGACAACTGTGTTAACTGCAGTGATTGAGAGAGCGGGGTCCTGAGGCCACTCCAGCACTCCCTTCTACAATTCATGTGAAACACGTACGTGGAGACAAAGCGCCTGACAATTTGGAGGATGGTTCTGCGGTCCTAGGAATCCTGAGTGAATTAAAGTCTAGACTCGGTAATTTTTCAAGCTAAACAGAGGAGGGAGAACTCGCAGATCAGATATGCCCCAAGTGTTACAGAGGGAACGCTGAAGCAAGGATGCTGCTGCCGGTCTGTGCCTGCCGGGAGGAAGGCAGCAATGGCAGAGCAGCCGGGGAGCAGCAGCATTCTCAGAGGCAGTAACAGGCAGCATCAGGGCTAGGCCTCCTCCAGCACAAAGCAGGAAGCCGCAGCCTTGTGAAATGCAGGATCCTCTGATGTTCGAAAATCTCCCGAGTTGAGAATGGCTATTGTACAAACGTTGCCAAGAAACTCTAACGATCCGCTGGCTGTAACCATGTGTTAGCAATAGTTGTTGCAGGGAAATGAATAGCACCTTCGGCAAATTTCTGGTCAACCCACAACTCCCTGAAGAAGAAGAAGAAGATAGCAAATTACCTGAAAAAGAAAAACTGGCAAAACAAAGTTTGGGCATGCCTGCAGGAACATGGTGTTTTTAGAAACTACCTAGGAGGCAGAAGCCAAGCGTTGATTTGCCCATGCCTCTTACCTGGGGGTTGGAAGGTGGGAAGAAATGGACAGTGGCTCCGATGAAAAGACAAGGCACAGTGCAGCTGGGTGAAGCCACACGCTGACTGCGTTCTGCACCGCTCTTCATGCAGTGCTGTGGGCTGGTGCACCGGCGGCGAGCACGGGTGTCCTATGTAAGTTTCTCTTGCTGTAGAATTGCAATGAGGGGCCTTAAATACTGCTCGTGTCTGTCTGGTGCATGCTGCTTCTTTCAGATGTTTTTCCTCCCTATGCTGAGAATCAGCCAGAGAGGCAATCATTTGTACGAGAGATTTTAAAGCACCCGAGGTGTATGAGATTCTGAGATGTTTTGTTTTGTTTTTTTTCTTGGAGATATTGTTATACCTCTTTAGTGCTGTGTTACTCTGATAAGGTTGACAGTAACTTGCTCGGGGATTGTTTGGGAAGTCCATTGTCTTAGAGATCTGTATCAGTGCAAACCAGTTGATATACTCTTTCACCTGTTTTTATATATTTTTATGGCATAAAAAATATTCTCTTTTAGAGAGCAATACTATGGAGTTTGTCAAATTGAAGCTAGCCAGAGAGGCTACCATTAAATCCTATTTTGAACAGCTTCCGAAAGAGAGTAGATGATAATCGTTTGATGGGTGACACAGCTGTTGCATTAATGCCAGCCTTTATCGGAGCTTTATCATTCTGTGATTATTTCACTGAACTAGCCCTTATTTCACGGACCTGCTGTGTTTTGCAAAATGGCTGTCTGAGTATTAAATTCTACCAGGCAGGCTTACACAAACCCCGAAGTAACACTACTTAAAATGATAGGATGCTAATTGGAATATGCCGTGCACTTGCCGACAGGCTCGGAGGCAATGCTGGCTTTACTTCCGTCTCCCCTTTGCACGCAGTCACCTTATTTCCAGGGAGCGATGTGGAAGGGAACAGCAGGTTTCTGCAGGCTGGCCAGACTGCAGTGCTGAATTGCTCATCACTGGTTGGAGAGTTCTAGCTGCAAAACAAATAGAAAATCCACAAAGGGAGCTAATCAATACTTCAGTGCATACTGTAAAGAAATCTGTGACCTTGGAAAATCGGCCACTTGAAGAGACATAGGTGACACTTCCAGGACAAACAAGGTTATAATCTGATGTGATATAAATAATAAAGTTGGAGCTAGGAGTGGGAGCGTGGGGAATGGATAATTATATCCCTATCAAATCTTAAAGATAATATTCAGTTTTATTAAATAAGCAAAAGCATAAGACACCTTTTAATTAAAGGCTTTTTTTAAATTGTTATGTATCTGGTGCCATTTGTCTTTTGAATGCAACAGTTGACATGTAAGACTATATGTAGTTGAGAGGTAGCAAGCAGAGTATTTTAAAGATGACACCTGCCAGGAGAGATTTTCTTTTTTCCAACAGAAAAAGCAATTGCTTTTTAATAGGATTTGAGAGTAAATGTTACAAAGTTTTTAAAGTATCAAATTATCCGCATAAAGAAAACCTTAAATTAAAAATTTTTAAATTTTAAATCCATACTTTTACAATATAATGGAGATTGACAATTTTATAGCTTTAGGAATTTCTGTTTATTGATACATTGAATTTGAAGAAATCTATGATTGTATAACCTATTGAGTAGAGGAATTCTGAAATAAGACCTCAAACAAAGCAATAATTTTTATTCTACTTATTTTTGTCCATTTGCTGTCATTGACCATGTAGCCACATAGAAGAGACAACATAATCTGTATTTTTTCTGGAATCTTGCCTGAAAGGTTAGAAGATTTGCTTCATCTGCTAATTCTCAAACTTTTACCCTGTTATTTTGGTTAAGGAAGCACAAAACATATAGCACAGGTATATTTTAAAGATAAAGGAAATGTATATGCTTTGTCACTAGAAATAAATTTTTCTTTAATTTAGAAGGTTTATCTTGGGAGTTTGAGCCTGTAACCCACCTGCTGCTGTCTTAGCCTCTTCTCTTTGGCAGTTTAACAAGTGGATTGCAATTTCCTTTCTAGCTACCAACTCAAAGCTATAGGGACTTTAAATCTGAAACATTTCATTTCCTTGGAGGAAAGGAGCCCACATATATCGGGCAGTGAATCTCTACCACCTGCAGAGCAGACGAAGCGGGGAGAGGCGTCTGGGAGCTGCTTATTGAATAAACAGGTAGACACCAGGGCAAAGGGCAGCCCAGAACTGCATGTAGTTGGTTGGGGCCTGGTCCATTAAATGTCCATTAAGAGGACTGTCCTGGTGCCCTTTCTCAGATCTATTGTCAATTTTAAGGGAGTGATGACTTAAGTTATGCCAGTAATAAGCCAATAAAAGTTTAGAAATTAAGAGTGTGTATATGTAAAAATATATATTATATATATTATATAAGGCAGCTGATACGTGTGTGTGTGTGTGTGTGTGTGTGTACCTTCATCCTCCACTAGTTCTTATATCTTTCTTTAGTATGTCAGTTTTCTTAAGGATACCTCCTACTCTAACATTGTCTCTCAGAAAGAATATGAAATATATGTGGGTTTTGAAAAGAGTACTGTACTTATGCCATAATGCTCCTTTTCTAGTTCTTTACCTTTCACTGCTGTCACGTTTATTGAGCTCCCTTTTATAAATTGTGTAATGTTGCCTTCATATTTATTTATTTATTTTTAATATATTTTATTGATTTTTTACAGAGAGGAAGGGAGAGAGAGAGTTAGAAACATCCATGAGAGAGAATCATCGATCAGCTGCCTCTTGCACACCCCCTACTGGGGATATGCCCACAACCAAGTTACATGCCCTTGACCAGAATCGAACTGGGACCTTTCAGTCCTCAAGCCAATGCTCTATCCATTGAGCCAAACCGGTTTGGGCTGTTGCCTTCATATTTAAAAATTGTTCTGTGAACAGTGGGCCCACCCTGTAGGATGTGGCCCCTCTTTTTTTTACATTATTATTCAAATTAACAATCTAGTCTTCATTATGGTTTACATCTAACAATCATTCTTTTAGAATTCAGCTTCATATCTCAGAAAAACACCTTATTTTTATATAAACTGTCTTGCTATTTTTATTTTATTAAATGACATGAAACCTGCCAGCAGAGTCATTACCCTTAAACTTAAACACATAGTAAGTTCTGTGTGTATCTCTGTTGAAATACGTCTAAAATACTTGTGTGCACTGAGGAGCAGAAATTGATACTAGCTTTTCTTGGTAAACTTTTTATTGAAGGAGGGCATGCATTCAGAAAAGTGCAGGAATCGTAAGTGTTAAGCTTGATGAAAGTTTACAACGTGAATGGGTCTGTGTCACCAACACTGCAACCAAGAAACCAAGCAGTCTGCACCCTTATTCTCCCTCCCACCTACCAATCAGTTTCCTCTCTTCTGGGCCCTACCCGCTTATCTGACTTCTAATGTCACGAATTAGTTCCCTTTATTTCCAAGTTTTTTGTAAATTTGGAAAATTTACAAATGAATTAGTTCTCTTTATTTCCATTTTTATATAAATGGACTCACACTGTACAGGTTGGACAAAAGTAGGTTTATAGCTGTGAGTATGCAAAACACAGAGTTTGTTCTTATATTATTATTTAATTTATTTTTATTATTTTCCATAGAAAGAACTGTAAACCTACTTTTGCCCAACCCTGTCTATGTTCTTTTTGTCCAGCTTCTCATCATTATGTTTATGAGACTAACCCATTTGGTTGTGTGTAGTTGTACTAGATGTAGCTTGCTCATTCTCACAGCTGCATAGTATTCCATTATGAAACTATATCATAATTTATTATCTATACCACTGTTGAGAGGCATTTGGGTAGTTACCAGGTTTGGATTATTATTACTAGTGCTGCTGTAAACATTTGTTATGTCATTTTGTGAATTTTACATATGCATTTCTGTTGTATTGTATATATAAATCTAAGAATGATATCGCCAAGTGTATGTATATCTATCTATCTATCTATCTATCTATCTATCTATCTATCTAGATTAAGTCAATATTGGTAAACAGCTTTCCAGAATGGTTTAATCAATTTATACTCACCAATATTTGGTATTATCTTTTATATTTTGGCCATTCAAGCAAATGGATACAAGTACCCCCATTACAGTTTTACTTGGCATTTTTCTGATGACTAATAAAATCAAGCACCCTCTCATACATTCATTGACCATTTACATATCCTCTTTCATGAAGTACCTGTTCAAGTCCTTGTCTCTTTTTCTCTTAAGCTGTCTTTTGAGGGTTTATTTTTTGTTCTTGTTATTTAAAAAAAAAATACTGACAGGGAGAAAAAGCTACTGCTGTTTAGCATAATAAAATAATTAGAACCCTGGGTGTGTGGCTGAGTTCATTGGAGTGACATCCCATGCACAAAAGGCTGTAGGATCAATTAATGGTCAGGGCACCTCCCGGGGTTTGGATTGGATTACTGGTTGGGGCCTGTATAGTAGGCAACCATTGGATGTTTCTCTCTCTGTCTCTCTCTTTCTCCCTTCCTTGTGTGATTATTTAATTTTTAAAAAAATTATTAGACACAAAATGGAACAGAGTGATATAGATGTGGAACCAGGCTGACCTGGGTTTGACTTGTGGTGTTATTATTGTTTCTTTGCCTGTCAGTTTATTTTCTACTGTTGTGATAGTGGAGAGCTCATTTCTCTTGCTGATTTGCAGTATTATCTATATAATTGGGGAAATAGTAAACGTTTGAACATTTATGTTAAGAATTAAAATGAAATGTTTTTTAGCACCTAGCATATTATTTGATACAAGATTGTTTTTCAAAAATTGGTAGCCACTGTGAAATGAGATCTAATATCTCCTAAAGTAAGGAAGGGTAGGGATGAGAATGGTAGATAATTGCTCTGGGCTCGGTTTGTGCTAGTTACCTAATAGTAATTGTCTTGAAAGTTTGATAACAAGTTAGGTGCTAGACGGTGACCTAGTTTATATATCACCAATCTATTATAAGAGCATACTATCCTTAGCATATGATCACTTCTGAACTTTTAGAGCATGTAAATGTAGTGAGATAACCAAATATTATTTTTGTATTCATCCTAACTTCTGAGCAATTCCATCCCTGAGTTGTTCTGATTGTATGGTTGTGTGATGCACAGACATAGTCCTGTAGAATTTACAAAGTACTTCTAGGC